ATGAGAACAAGTAGCATCATAAGCACAAGTAGCATCATGAGCACAAGTAGCATTATGAGAACAAGTAGCACCATGAGCACAAGTAGCACCATGAGAACAAGTAGCATTATGAGAACAAGTAGCATTATGAGAACAAGTAGCACCATGAGAACAAGTAGCATTATGAGAACAAGTAGCCTTATGAGAACAAGTAGCATTATGAGAACAAGTAGCACCATGAGCACAAGTAGCACCATGAGAACACCTCTGTCAGAAGGCAAGCCTCTCGTTCAAAGGTTATCTGTAGCACAAGATTGTGACAGAAGGTGAAGTGACCCACTCATCATGTGCAACCTGGCAGGTCCAACCTTTAAAAATATATTTGTTGTCTAGCTGGTTGGAGCATGATACTCTGAGTGTAAAATAGGAGCAGTACTCAGGACTTCATTTGTCCTGCAGTCATTTACCTTTTTATTCGACAGAGAACCACTACATGATTCTGAACAAAAGCTGTTAGATATCCTGAACGTGCAGGACTTTTTCAAAAACCCCAAAGACTTTTAATTCATGTTTGAACTTTTAATTCATTGAGACACAGAACACTGGACTGTGCTTACTTTCTGGCGTACATGAGCAGGCCGAAGCTGACCAGGATCACCAGCAGGTACACGTTCGTGGCCTCGTTCCAGGCTTCGTGTACCGAGTAGTCCAAAGACTCCGGCTCGTTCCCCAGAACCCCGTGGGCTCCCATCACAAACGATGTCAAAGAAGAACAAACCACAAGAGGAAACCAACAAACGGGCTCGGCTAGCACAGGCTAACTGCAGTACGCTGTAAACTCATGACGTCACTATCGCGCTGCTGGGCTTCTTCCGGAAGTACTGCTGCCACCCAGAGCCCTGTAAAGAGAGAGTTGCGACACTCTTTGAACTCGCCGATACGCGGTCACGTGGTTCATGCAGCTCCCCATAGTTCCAAAAAGCTCATCGCTGTCAGTCAGTTTGAGCGGCTGCTGGCGCAACATAACACATAAATCGACTTTTCTTACTTTACCTGTGTCTTTCAGCAGTAACGAACTGATTACTTAACTGATTACTGATTATTTCACAGACTATGCATTTTATCAAAGCATTTTTAGAAGCAGCTGATACATTTATCATTAAATTTTAGAAGGAAACGAGACTGCAAACACATATTTGTTAGAAAAAAAATGTATATGCAATACAGTGATCAATATAGCCATGTCAGTGTTTTATAACGTTAAAAAAAGATCAGAGTAACTCCTGTTATAAAGCTGTTTCTGATGTTCTCTGCAGGATAAACCTTGTCCTCCATGCAGCAGTTCAGATCTGCTCCAGCTTACCTTAGATCATCTGAATGAATTCTTGATTTCTATAGAAGATATTAATTCAACCTTTATTTAAACAGGTTCGTCCCATTGAGCCACGAGGACTCATTTACAAGAGAGACTGAATTTAATTGTTGTATTTGTCGTTTTTTTATGGCAACCAAGTACCTGATAACTGAGCTGATTGTAGCCTGACAACTATTGTAAAATTGTAATTCTTTGATTAAAATGTTAATTTAAATGAAACTGTTTCTAGTTAAAATCATAACAGATGACAAAATAAGTGTTAACTGTGCAAAAATAAATTTCCAAACAATTTATTATATAATATGTAAAATGTAAAGCAAGCTTTAATAAAGTACTTTTACTGACATTTATACTGTTTATTAATGACATCATCTGAAGTCAGCAGGAGCACCATCATCATCATCATCACAACATCTCTTTACAGGGCTCTGCTGCCACCTACAGACATAGATATAAACACTAGATGCCTCATTGGCTGCTGCGGCGCAGGATTTCGGCCGCCATCTTGAAACGGTCGTCCTTATTTGGTTAAAGCAGAAGATGTCTCAGCACTTCGCAGCTTCTTTCTGTTCTAATCGACGGACTGTTGACGTCAGGTCTCGGGGGATAACTTTTCACAGTAAGATGAACATATTATTGTTAGTATTTTGTGAATATAATATTACTGTACTGTATTTATGTCCACCAGCTGATGTGATGTTCAGTGTAACACGGTGTTCAGCTGCAATGAAGCTGACTGAGATCTGATGACAGGAATATTTTGCTAACAATCATACTCACTGTTTCAGCAGCTTTGGTTCATTATCAACAGATATGCATCAAAACTGGAGTTTTGTTTAAATTCTAAAAAATAAAACTGGGGAGAATATAGGAAATAGAAAATAAGCTTGACCTCCTTTGTACAATGTTTTTGTGTAGACACAAATCTCCTGTTTTTATTTTGAAGGTTTCCCAAAGAACAAGATGTGAGGAAGAGGAGGAAGTATCTTTGAGGAGGATTCATCTGAGCAGTGAGGATTTTAAACTGGAGGATTTTGATCAAACTGGTCAGACTGTCCGACTGAGAGATGGTGTGGTACCATGGGTTCACCTTAAGAGAGTAGGAGCATCATTATAAGTTCATTAGAGTTCATAAAGTTACATATTTTATTGTGAGTCACAAGGTGAGACACCTCCATGTGTTTCTATGAACAGGTAACTAGAGACTGTAAAGTTCATTTTCATGATGCTTTTTCATTTCAGCTTGAAAACTGCAGGACTACAGGAAGTGAACAAAAGCTGCAGCTGCTCTGTCTGTGCACGCTCAGGAACGTGCACGCCACACACACAACCTCAGGAGTGTGCACGTCCCACACAACCTCAGGAACGTGCACGTCACACACACAACCTCAGGAACGTGCACGTCACACACACACTCTCAGGAACGTGCACGCCACACACACAACCTCAGCACGTCACACACACACAACCTCAGGAACGTGCACGTCACACACAACCTCAGGAACGTGCACGTCACACACACACTCTCAGGAACGTGCACGTCACACGCACACAACCTCGGCCTCATGATGTGAGTATTTCTATTTTAAACTTTATTTTTCATTGATCTTTATTTATCCAGGTCGACTCACTGAGTCACGAGAACTCATTTTAAAGAGAGACCTGTTTAGGAGCAGATGGTGGGGGTTGAGTGCCTTGCTCAGAGGACCAGGGTGGGGCCAATGAGGGTGGAGGCAGGTGTGGGTGTTTCACCTTTTCCACCTCATTTTGATGTTGATGGTACCGGGAGTTGAACCTGCGACTTTCCCATCACAGGCCCATCTTGTAACCTCTGCTCCACCACTCCCCCACATGACATCATATCATACTGGTCGTATTAAAATCTCACTGGTTTCCTTCCAGATGTGTTAAACTGGTCCCCTGATGTTTGCAGGTGTGTGTGGTCAGTGGATGAAAAGCCTGGCATGAACAAGATGATGCTGGAGATGATGATTTGACGAGAGCTCCCACCTTCTACCTGTGAAGAACAAGAGCAGCTCAGTGAAGGAGCTGAGAGCTGCAGAGAGGCTGATCCATGGAGCTTCAACACAGCAACCTCCAAACATGTCCACCCTCACACACATCGTCTGTGGACACACTGGACCACAGCACAACATGATAACACACTGACAACAACAACAACAGCAACACATTCACTAATGATTCAGACAAGTTTAAGTTTTTTATTGTTTGCTTGTTTTCCAATTAAAAACAGTTTGTTGTCCACTGTTGTCATCACTCTTTGTTAAAATCCAGGTCTCTCTTGTAAATGAGTCCTATTGGCTCGATGGGACTAACCTGTATCAATAAAGGTTGAATGAATATAAATATATACATAATGATTTATTCAACCTTTTATTTAAACTACAGTAAAAATGATAGAGATTATATATATATATATATATATATATATATATATATATA